AAGAGTTGTTGAAACAAAACATATCCAACCGAAATTTACTTTAAAGTTTGCATTTGTGCTTTGTTTTGCTTTAAATTTTGTAAAAAAAATTTATTTGACCTGCAACATAAGAAAATCGAGTACACCTTACTTTGAGCCACACAGGATACAGAAGACTAATGAACTGAATCAAACTTGATATTTCGATATGGTACGTGGATATATATAAGATTTGCATACATGTGTAAAAAAGTAAAAAAAAAACAGGGATTGATTCAGGGTTGCAGAAAAAGATAGGCGTAGTCTAAAATGGTGAGAGATATGCGAGGATATTTTTTTTTTTTGAAAAGGGGGGGGGGGATGATTTTAAGCAAAAAAAATACACTTTATCGATAAAAGGTAGGGGCTATGCTTTCTTAAGTCCCCTGAACCCACAACTGATAGCAAATATGGGACATTATCATAAAGAGTGGTATTATTTTTTTATTTTCAAAAGATTATAAAAATTTGATAAAAAGACAAAAACACCTACCTTTAGATTTTGCTTGATCCATTATGTTCCAACAGAATTATGTATCCAAACTCACATCAAATCAACAATTCAGACCTTATGTATTGATGAAAATTAACTAAAATTATTTAAATTAGAGGTACCGCAAACAGGGGCGGATCCAGGATTTTGGAAAGGGGGCGGAGTATGTAAGATTCAAAAAAAAATTTGGACCTATTTTTGGCTAAAAAACATATAATAAGTGTAAAATGCACTTTTTTAACGGTTCCTGACGTGGGGCATGTATATTTTATAGTTAAAATGTAAGGGTTGGACATTTTTGATGCCGTATTCTCCCCATTAATTGTCTATTATAAAATGATTGGATGGATCCAAAGCTGTGTACTAATATATTTAATGTGGGATTTGTCAGTAAAAAATGGACAAGGAAAATTCTAGTTTGTTGTAAGGTTAGTTAGCATAACCTCACAGATTTCTTGTTGAAAACAAGATATACGGCCATTCAATGAAATTTACAATACGAAAGACACGAACAAAGACAAACTAGCAATTTTTATCCAAATGTTTGGTTGAAATGTTTCACCCAACAAGGGAAGTGAGGGGTTCCAAATCAACCAAAGGCTACGAATGAGTCTGAAATGACAACGAAGTTGTGAATGACGGTCGACAAATGGAGACATTAAGGCCAAGCCGAGCAGGCAGGTTGAAGTCGGGCCTTGAAAAAAGTATTCAGCATATCAGTTCGGCGAAACAGACATTCCGGTCAGATATGGGATTTACAACATGCAAACCCCCGGCCCCAAAAAAATTAAGCCCGTTTTTTATTCATCATGTTCATTGAATGCTCAATGATTCTGTTGAAAATCTTTGTTTCTAATAGCGAAAAAGTGGACAAGATTACCGGTATAGTTTTCAATCCAGATACGGCCAGAATTTTTGTTTAAGGCAAAAATCAAGGTAAGATTTTTTTCTCTAAAATATCTCAAGACTGCCCCCTCAAATCAAATGGTCCGTACCTTAGATTTTAAATCTATCTAGAGCTTACTGACTGGGGATTATTATTCAGCAATGTTATTAATGGGCTGGGGCGTGTGGGGTTAAACATGTTTTCGTAGGTAAATAATATTGCTGTGGAACTTTTTTTTTCATGAGAGTGTAATAGAGTATTACTTTCTGTTTAGTGGAATTGTGAAATAGAAGTCAATACGTTCTTGCTCGATCCTTACTCGCTTTGAAGGTGTCATGCTTGTCATCCTCAGCCTAAGCAATGTGTTACTGTAATTTGAATTTCAAAATGACCGAGTGACGTTTTTTCGACGCATTGGTCAACTCCACCGTAGCGAATCACATGACTTTGACATAATCAATAATATATTACAGTAAATACGAGGGAAAAATATCTTTATAAGTAAAGAATTGTCGCATAAAAATTAAATACACGGGAAATGGCAAAGTTCACGAAGTCAAGTCTGATTAATCATTTTACCAAAAAAAAAAAAAAAAAAGAAAGTGCAAGCAAAGGGGGGCGTACGCCCTCTACGCCCCCTCTGGATCCGCCACTGGCAAATACTCATTTAAGCACATTGGGTCACTTTGAGATTTTACGGTTATTGTTATAATTTTCATTTTCCGACTATCGGAGATATTGATGTTTTTTTTTTTTTTAGTTTTTTTTATATGTATTTCAAGCGAAGTCCTAATGTTTTTGTATGTTTTGTTTGATATTTCACCTGACCTCAACAGCAGACGAGAGGAAACTTATCATAGACTAATGATGTTTTTGTTTGTTGTTCTCGATTCTTACCCCTCCTCTACTATGAAGTCGAGATGTGTTCTGTTTATGGACGACGATGCTAATGAATATCTTGGAAGAGTCCTTTTCACGAAATTATCTCAACGACGGCTTCAGTTTTACGGCGCCACTGGTGAAACACCTGAAACCTTTCTTGTTTTATTTCATAACTTTGACCAGCTTTTCTAAGCACCGAGTACTCGCGGACGACCCCGACGACTCAAACGACGCTATATTCTTTTTTTGACATTGATTTGGTTGAAGTGTTATCCAACTTACAATATTTTGTCCATCATGTTTGATATTTTACCGAGACAAGTATCAAGACTTATAAATGAAGTTTGGCCAGTACTGTATGAAATGATTTGCAGAAACATAAGATGGCCAACTCGACGCCAGTGGAAACTTAAGCGTGGAAGATGGAATAAACTGATGGAAGCAGTTGGTTGTATAGATGGCACGTCACATGCAATTTTGAGGCCGTCTACTGAGCCTCAGCGGATGTTCTACAGTGGGAACAGATGTTTTCAATGTATTCATACACAAATAATAATCGGCAATGACAAAATCATTGTTCGGGTTTCTTAGGGCACAATAATGATGCAAACACATATGAAATGATGACATCCACCGGCAATAAGCGCACTTTGGATATTCCCAGAAATTGCTATCTGCTAGGTGATTGTATTTATCCTTCGCGTCATCCTATTTAACACCTTTTACATTAGCACAACTACGCCGGATGACAAGGAATCAGTGTCGGGGTTCAGAAAAAAAATTAACAAAACTATAGGAAAATACCAAGTTTTTGTTGAACATTTTATCCGACTTATAAAGATATTCCGGATAGTTGGTGCAGTTTACAGGCATGACAGGCATGAATACGGGAAAATTGTTTGTTTGTGTGCTAACTTGTGCGCTCGCAGAACCAAATTGCTATTTGACAAATAGTCTGACGCTAAGTATTTGTTTATTATGTTGTATTTAGATTTACTTATAAAGACAATTTATGTATTGACATTATTTATCATTCATTTATAATAAAACTGCGAATGCATTATGTTCATGCACCGACATGAATAGTACATTTGACGTTTTTGTGCTTATTGTATACACATTGTTAAGCACGCTTAAGCCTTTCGGCAGTGATCAAACCTCCCTTTTTTCGTACAACATCACCACCGACAATCTAGAGAAATGTGTTTAATTGTTTTAGGTTCCTATATACTAAAGATCTTTGATACTCAGCATTATAGACTTAGGGATAATGTATCATTTTGTTGTTTCAATGCTAAGTATAAAGAAATTTATAGAAAATACACAGCCTTTCCCCTTACTCCAATGATTAAAAAATCTCTATTCAATAGATATGGTGTTATTACATATAGTGCTAGCAATGATTCCCCTAAAACATGTTTTTAAATAAAGGTATTAATTAAAACAATTGAAACACAAATATGGATCCATTCAAGTACACCTTTCAGATGCGCTCGACTTTAGTTAGTGACTCAGCACGAGGTTTTTGGGATATAAAGTGAGTAATCATGTTCAAAATATTTTAACGAATATCATTTCATTGAAACAATAAACATTATTGCTGTGACCGGTGTTTCCACTCGGTATATGTACAATATGACACGTCTCTTTTATTGAGTATTTTTGCAATTTAGATACCATAGCACTTTCAAAATTTCGCTATACACAGGCCTACAGAAAGGAACATAAATCTTAATACTCGGGATCATATGCTGGTTTTTGGAACGTATATATATACATCCAGATAAGGAAACATTTCGAATTGACCGACCTCTATGGTCCGAAATTTGAACCGATCATTAAAAAAAACAGATGCAAATTAACAGTCGTGGCAACAAAGTTTGATCCCCGTTATTCCTTAAAATACTACATCGAGAAGTACTCGCCATCGGGGTTATTATTTTAGCATAATCTTCCAGATGCGTATACGTCAACTATCTGATACTTTTGATACGTTTTAAATTGACCGACCTCTACTAAGTGTTGATGCACGAGTGTGCGTTTTATTGAGCTCGTGCATTATTTTATAGAAAATACACCTTACTAGCATTCTTCTACACCAATATTAGGTCTAGCTATAGCTTGCAAAAACGGAACAATAAAAAAACGCAGATAATTAAATACCTGATAGGAGAATACTTTGATAAACATTTAACAAACTTAGGAACATGAAGACAGACTTTTCACCTTAATCCTGATTGACACAAAATTAATTAAACTAAAAAAACAATAACTTCCAAGACCAGCAGAACTAATTCTTTGTTTTTACTTAATCTCCTGTGCTGTCCATTAGAACTCCACATATTTCAATTTCTATCAATTAAAGACGCTTGCATGTATGCATGTATGATAACAAGTTTACAAGTTATATTTATCTCAAGTTATTGATCGAAACGAAGAAATCTGGCAAAGTATCAAAATTAATTTCAGATAAAACGAAGTAACAAATAACATTCATAATAGAAACCAGGATAAATAAAATTCGCTATAATAAATAATAATTGTTCAGTTGGTTATAAATGGAGATAAGGAAAACGATTACTCAACGAAAATTATATCGTTTTGTTTATTATTTAAATGTTCATGAATAGACGAAACAAAATAATCAAATAGATTAAATTATCTTATAACTATTGTTGAGTATTATAGTTTGTTGAAAAATACTTATCTGTAAAACCTTACCTTTCACTATTCTTCCAGTAGACAATATTATTTGAGCAGCTTAGAAATAGAAATCAAAGACATAACTAACATTCCCTTACACTTTTTAAGTTGTTACACAGTTGCTTCCCTTGTAGTGACGAGTTCAATTCTTATATCACTTACACGTATCTAAATATAGATGATAATGGTTTATTTCATGACGCATGTATGGAAGACCAATATGAGATTATATCATATACTTATAGAAAAAATGGTATAATTGTACCCCTTGATAAAACTGTAAATTGTACATAATTATATTTATTAATAAAATCTGAAGAATTGTCTTAGCCGTGTGATATTACTTTCGTTATCACCTGCTTCCGGTTTATATCACACGCTCATTCCGTATTCGCCTTATTAGTCATTTCCGTAATCGATGCACTACGTACACTACATAAACAAAAAACACGACAGCGGGAACGAAACCATCGATTACATTAATTCCCTAAAATATGTCATTACAAATAGAAAACCACTCAGTGATATTGATATTTTGACCAAATGGATGAGGGATAATGATGATATAAGAAGTTAGGAGGATATTCCTGTTATGGAATAGGACAAAATTACAGCAAGTTTTTTTTTATGAAAATCACGAAAGGAGACGACAGTCCTTACGAGCCCAGTACAATCAAATCCTTCCAAAGTAGTTTTTCAAGACACTTAATGGATAAAAAGAACATAAATATTATAAAAGACAAGGAGTTCCATAAATTTTATCAGCCAAGACGAAGGAGCTGAAGTCTCATGGGCATGGGATCCAAACAAAGACGTGCAGATCCATTCACGGCAACGGAAATTGATGCACTTAATGAGAAGAATTTTCTTGGCCCAGGTAATCAGTCAAATTTCTATTTTGTTGAATTGTAGAATGGTATATTTGTCCAGCCGATTCGTGCATATTTTTAGAAGAATTGTGGATTTGATGATAAAAGCATGAAACTTTGCACAATTGTAGATCTATATATGGTAGTCAATATAAGCTATGGACCCACTCTGAAAAAACCAATATGGCTGCCAATCAGTACAAATTTCACCACCATGTATAAATTAAAGCAAATAATATTCAAATCAAATCTTTAAAAAGCATATGAAATGTAAATTTTCGTTTCTAGTAAGTCATGGCGGTATATTAGACTTTAAAACTTTTTTCAAATAGCGGAAAAAATTAAAAATGGCCGCAAAAAAGTGAAAATGAACAAAACATTTCTTTCATCGAATTGCACTTTGCAGTTCATACGATATTCTAAGGATTGTGTTTCCATGATACATCGATACTGCTTGCAAGACAATTTAATCAAAGATCCCATAAGTTGAAACATTTGAACGTTTGTAGGACGCCTTTAGGATTTGTTTGACTGTGTACCATCTGAGTCACAAACGATAATTTATATGTTCCACTTTTCCTTGCCAGAATCATTTCTTTTTCCTCGACTGTAGATCAAGATGATCAATAAATACGACTCGTCACCAATTTTCTTCTTGCAATAAGTAGCACCACTCGTGCTAACAGTTGACAAGAAACTACACACCCTTCTGGAACACCTGCGTTGACCCCTAGTTTTGACGAGAAAGGACTCGTGTTGTTTATACTGTCAATTTTGTGTTATTTGTTGTTCTTTTATTTTTCAATGTCTGTGTTGTAAACCAGTGAAAGTCGTGTTTATTCATCGTACTGGCATGGAAAACCTTATTTCATTTCAAACTTTCATATTTGGTCAAATTTTAGATACTTTACATACACCAATATGATTTAAATTTGGTGATACTGGGTATGAGTCAAGGGGTTGGTGTTGCTCAATTTTCGAATTTTTGTGAAAACTGATGTTAGTCTTTTGTGTTTTTTTTATCCATGCTATTGTCTGGTTTTGTTTTTCTAATGTTTTTTGAGTGCCTAAGTGTCTTCTTCATCTTTCTTACCATCTTAACAACAACATATCTTCACAGCAGTTTTCAAAATTAAGAACAGCCCATGTAGTCTTTGTACAACTCCTCACCACATTTTAAACAGCACTGTACATAACATCATTGTGCTCGCATTTTTATCTACCGTTTTGATATCTTTCAACCACATTTTATTAGCTCATTCCAAAATGCTGATACCTTTGTGATAAATGTCCAGTATGGTTAATGCCATCCGCATTCACTCGAAATAGCACTCGGGATAGAAGGCCAAAACATCCCCCAACCTAAAGCTTTCATATGCTTATAAGGTTGATTAAAACTTGTTAATTACTATAGCCATTTCTGGACAAGACACCATATATATGTGCTGTATTTGTGCCATATTAACGCTCAATCCGATTGCCCAACCATTTCCTTTTACAAGTGTGGAATTCTACTCATGGTTTGATTTACATATACCATTTTCAAATTACTTTTGCAACACTTGAACTGTATTGTTTAATCGCATAATATCACACACGGTTACTAGGAGCCATAATTAGGATGGGAAAATGCAAACAACAACTGAATAAGCAGTTTAATGACACCTATATACACCCAGAATGAACATTCTCGTAATGATCTCACATCAAAATGTTCAGTTCAATCTTTAATGTTACAGACCAGTTGTGGTTAAGTGGACTCAATTTCCCCTCATTACTCCATTCTTTGAATGTTACATAGTTCTCACCAGGTTCCCGTTCCTCAGTAAAATTTATGTTAGTATCTTTGTATAAGAATGAGAAGTACACCTACTGTAACCTCATGGAAATGTCATGTTCATGATGCATGAGAGCCTCTAAAAGAATCTGCTGTTCATGAAGTACTATGTGTCCTTGATTGTTCAATTACTATTTTCTAACCAATCACTATAAAGTTCTCAACGATGCCATTCCTATATGAATACCTAAAGCAAAACTACTCTTTGTTCTAAGATATGTTTGGCCAGATCCACTGTTCCGATTTGGCAAAAGAAAAAGGAAATCCGATTGATCACAGGTGATAATTGATACATGTCTCGGAAAACAATTAACACATTGCTGAATTGTATTCATGGAATGTCGAATCGTAGTGACATATTTGATCTCTTGCAGAAACAATGTTCAATGCGGACTGATATATAAAGGCAGATGACCATTTGTCTTGGCTCTACATGCGAGGAATGATGTCCAGACATGCTTAATGTTTTCATTGTCATCTCCTTTAAGCCATCTGCGTAATCATTTTGATAATTTTTGTATACCATGTAAAGATAGAGATGCACAATTGACTAATTATACCAGGTTGGCATAAATGTATTTCTTGTTAGACAATTGACAGAGTGCATGTTCATAATACGGTTATTACCAAATGTTAGTATGAAACGCATGGTTATATTTGGTTCGTGATAGGATATATCTTATTCTATACTAATATTATTAGTTACTAAGTTATAGCAATGATACGAACAGTTGTGCTGGCGTGTAATATATTGGAGTAATATTTATCATAGTATCAGAGAAAATAAGAGAAATGCATATATTTTAAAGCATTATTGTTTATAAAGAATAAGCAAAGTTAGACTAAAAAATTGCAAAAATATGGAAATGTTCGTACAGTGTGATGATTCTTTAACCGAAGTTGAACTCCTGTTGTTGTCAATATTGTCCACGGCTGATGTTGCTAAATCAGCAGGATTCGTGAAAGGATCCACATATTCAATACTGAATGTTTCATAGATGGAATCTTCGTGTACTGCAGATAAATGGATAATTGGATCATACATAAACGATCAATGTAAACTGTACGTTTTGTCATTTAGTACCTCCTTTACTGGTCCTAGCATCCAGTAGACGGGTCATATACATTACTAGATGGTTTAGTTCAGTTGAATGTAGTATTTAAGAAGAATAAAACAGAAGTTACTTCGAAATGAATGGCGTCGTATTTGCCTCAATAGAATATTACGACTGCATCTGAATATTTGCACAAACGATTAATAACTAATGTTTTTGATGACTATGGAAAAGAGTTTTGCCTACATCTTGTCTTTTTGAACTACCTGTATGTGCAGCTTGTTCACGAATCGTTGTCGTACAAAAAATTGTTGCGGTCACCTGTTTAATTGCAACACCAACATAATCATTGAACAGAAGAAGTAAGCAACTGCCTTGTTAATGGCATGGCAAGCCTCAAATTACTACAATTTTGATTAGATCATTACTTTGTCCTGTTCCACCTGATCATAAAGAAAACTGTTTTCATTCTAGTTAAGTCTAGCTTAAATATTGGAATAACGCCAGTATCCATACGTAATCCATCGTTGTAGACTACATTTCTGCAAGAATGGTACCGCAGTTACGATTTTCTATACTTACTTCACAAATCTTTGATGTTTGGCTTTAGTATTAAAATGTGACATACACTTGGTATCAAAATCACTTGGTTATACTGAAGGTTCGTCAAAACAAAACACGTTGTAACCTTATTTAATGGATATTTGTTGATTTTGATATCTTATGGCGGCCTTTTGGAAAAAGTCGCCATTTTAAAATTTCAACTGGGGTCCAGGGTAATATCATTATTAAGTGATATTTGTTGATTTTAATATTTTGAGACGGCCATCTTGGAAAAAGCCGCCATATTGAAATTTCAAGGTGGGTCCATGGCTTATATTTTTCGAAACAACCCGCACTACTATCATGCCAAATTTGGCATTGATTTTGACCTAATAAAAGTGATATATGTTGATTTTGATATTTTATGGCGGCCATCTTGAAAAAAACCGCCATATTGAAATTTCAAGGTGGGTCCATGGCTTATATTTTTCGAAACAACCCGCACTACTATCATGCCAAATTTGGCATTGATTTTGACCTAATAAAAGTAATATATGTTGATTTTGATATTTTATGGCGGCCATATTGAAATTTCAAGGTGGGTCCATGGCTTATATTTTTCGAAACAACCCGCACTACTATCATGCCAAATTTGGCATTGATTTTGACCTAATAAAGGTGATATATGTTGATTTTGATATTTTATGGCGGCCATCTTGAAAAAAGCCGCCATATTGAAATTTAAAGGTGGGTCCATAGCTAATATTGTTTGAAACACCCAGAACTACTACCAAGTCAAATTTGACGCTTTTATCATCAAACCCACAATTTTTTCACTGATCTGCCGG